TTTGTATATTTTACAAACACAAGACTGCTTCTTGCCAAAATTGAGAAAATATGTATTAATGTAGTTGTGTATAAGACAAAATTTCATGAAAGATTCTACTTTTGGTATATATTTTGACTCATTTTGTGCTTTCGCTTCACCTTGTCAACATAATAAATAATAGTGTTGCTTCGAACTTTATGATAAAAAACCGATTTTCTAGACGTGTATACAAATAAAAATAGTTAGTTTATACTATAAATGAGTTTATTTTACCTGCATCGGTTTAAATTCGCCGTTAAGTTGCAAATAATTCTGTTTGAGAACGCAATAATTGGGCATTTTGCAACCAGGGCAGTTTTAGGGCAGTTTTGGCCTTGTTGTTGGGAAATTCACTAGGCCTTCTAGGCTTGCTTCCTCCGCCCCGCCCCTAAATCACATAGTCCCAGTCTTTTCATGTAAAAAAGCGCTGAATATTAAAAAAATATAAATAAGACTAGAAGGCCTAGGTCTAGACTGGCTCCAACTATCACCCCCTACCGATCTGTCGCGTCCACGGGGTCCCCACTTCCTCCTATTCCACACCAGCAGCCATAGTTGTTATAGCCGATCCAACATCTGTCTGTTGTGCACTTAATCATTCTGCTAAACTGATAAATACCAGGTTTCCACCAGTACAATTCTACAAAATTTTCAAATAAAAAGGGAAGATGTTTTGCAACGTGTACACTAAATACAGTAGGCCTATATAGCTACAATCCTGGCAAAACTAATGAAACATCCAGTTTGATTAACAATTTAATTTATTCTTTCCCCCTTTCTCACCTTCCAATGTTGATTAAGATGAGCAAGAAACCTACACATAGTGCTCTCTGCCATCGATGAACTATTGTGCATATTTTTTTAGAATCTATGTCCAAGATTGTGTAGGGGGAAGGGATGTTGCCTGTTTTATTGATTTTTTATAGGTGTGTTTCATAACTTTTTGCCAAGATTGTCTGAAAAAGCCTTAAATACAAACAGTTCCCCCTGACAGTTATTTACGGTAAAGATGCTGGTTTTGAAATACAGTTTAGCTGCATGAATGTTTAAATAAACCAACTTTCGAATAGGGTGAATTAATATTTGGATGCCATGGAAAACATTGTATATGTATATGTAAATATATATTATATATATATTATATATATTATATACATTATGTGTATTATATATATTATATATATTATATATATCAGTGTAATGCCTCATCAGTGTAGTGCTGATGAGCAGGATGAAAGTAACTAGTATTAATAGTTACCTTTGATGCCTCACGAATGTGGGACATCATACCATGCCAGAGTGCTCAAACTGCAAGCAGTGAGCGTGCGCACAACGCGTAAGCGGCAATGGCTCATTCGTAGATGACTAGACAAGTGATTTACGACGAAAATTTGACGGAATTCTTGCATTTCAATATATCTATATTTTGTTTAACTTAGCTCAAGTGTTGGTAAACATGTTTCCAGTTAGAAATCTGAATTTTTTTTTTTTTTTCTGTGCTGGTGTTGTGTACTCAGGTGAATAATATGTTTGTGATGTTACTCTGAGTGCATATCCACACCGGGCGAGCTTGAAAAATATGCCCGGCCACGGTGGGATTCGAACCTACGACCTTTGGAATACCAGCCCAATGCTCTTCCAACCGAGCTACGCGGTCAGGACGGTTCGAGTAAGTGATATTTCGGAACAGTATCTAGTTCCTTCAATACCAATGTGTTCTTGTAATATGAATTTTTTTTTTTTTTTCTGTGCTGGTGTTGTGTACTCAGGTGAATAATATGTTTGTGATGTTACTCTGAGTGCATATCCACACCGGGCGAGCTTGAAAAATATGCCCGGCCACGGTGGGATTCGAACCTACGACCTTTGGAATACTAGCCCAATGCTCTTCCAACTGAGCTACGCGGTCAGGACGGTTCGAGTAAGTGATATTTCGGAACAATATCTAGTTCCTTCAATACCAATGTGTTCTTGTAATA